ACACTGAAAATCCGTTGTATTGTAAAATTCGTTATATCAAAATTCGTTGTAGAAAGAGTTGACTGTATATGTAATATTGCAAATTTAAGTAGCAAAATGATCTTATAATTCTGACATAACCATCAGTCAGTTGATGATAGCATTTATTATCAAATTATGAATTTATTGTATTATTCGTAACATCTTTTTTCTAAATTAAAATCTTTTTCTCTTATTTATTCTTCTCAAAACAAGATCCTTGTTGCTTTGTAATTTATCATATTTCTTAATATTTTGTTAATATCGCTATTATTTTACTCAATTAATTGATCATTAAGATCATAACCTTTGTTTTTTAACTTTGTTTTAACTTTTTAGAAATATGTATTCTCTTCTCTTTCTATTCTAATCCTTGATAAGAATTAAGATTGTTTATATTTAATTCTTTTTCAATTGATACTTCATTCTAAAATTATTTTTATGTAACTTTTTGTTTGTTTGCTTGTAAGCACTCATCAATTATCAGATCGCGTATGAATATATCTTCTAGAAGTCTTTTTTATCTATAAAAATTCTTTAATAAAACAATTATTATTTAGGTAATATTCTCGTATAATATTCATATTAGTTTCTATTTACTTTCTTAATTTTTCACTTTCTTCAGGCATTGAATAAATCTGTATCTTTCATGTTTTCAATCTCTCTTCATCATTTTTGATTTTTGGATGCTGTGAAGATAATAATGATTGATAATAAGTCTTTAGCAAGCTTATTAGATTCAGTATTATCAACTTTAATATCTGAACTAAGTACCACAACCTTTGTATCATATTTAACAAAGTTCTATTCAATAAATTCAAAAGTGAAGCTGCAAAGTCAATTCTTGTAGATAATCACAACCTTCTCAATATCTCTTTGATACAATCATTCCAAAATGGATGTAAAACCCTCATTGATATTATCTTATCCAAACATGTAAAAATGGTAATAAAAGGGTCTATTCACAATCCTAAATGGATCACAACACCTTTTATTTTACAATGAATTAAACCAATACTATTTGTCATTAATAATCAGATAATATAAAATACAATTGTTAAAAAATAACAATCAGTAAAATAAATATCAACATAGTATATTTAAATAATAGTTTTTGGTTTGGGGGTAAAATATCGGTCACCCCGAAAAAAAGGGGTGACCGATATTTTATCCACCCTAACCAATAACTAGTTTCTTGCATCAGTTACACAATATCATGCTTTAAATTAATATTGTTATAATAATAATATTTAAAGTCTATATATTTCAGTCAGGGATTTTACCAAATATAGAATTTCTAAATACAGTGTTGATCGACAAATGATCGACATTCTAGAAGT